ACTAAAGGGAGCATCACAGCAGAAGTGCATGAACAGAAACAGCGATTTGTTGTATTGTGAGATATCATATTTATCAACTCATACTGAGATTTGAATACTCAAGAATGTCTTACATGCGTGGTCAACGAGCTCAATCCTTTCCTTTCCTTTCTTTAAGTAGTGAACCATTCGTGGGTAGGTTACAAGAACGTCCTGGACATACAAATGCAAAGCGAGGTTTTGAATAAGTTTAAGCTGTTTTGACTTCAAATACTGTTTTAGTGCGTTTGTTATTACTTTCTTTGTTTGAAGAACAATTATGTTTAGAGGAAGTGATTGTTTACATTTCAAGCAGTTCCTATCCAGAAAGGGAACTCTTCATTGTTAACATCCTTTGAAAACTGCTCCAGCTTAGATAGTGTATAGACGTGTTTACCTTGACATGCTGAGTTAATGTTCGAATCAGGGCCAAACTTCTTGACGCGATAAGAGACCCTCCTTTACGACCCTCCCTTCTCAAAGATACCCATTCGTACCCCCCCCCCTCTTACTTCACCTCTCTCCCTCTCCTCATTTCCACGCTTCTGCGGTAACCTGCACTAACGATTGTCAGATCCCCTCCCCCCTGCCAATAGACCTTAACTAAAATTATCATACATCAGAGTAAGAAAAATTTACTTAAAAACTGTGAGATTAAGGAAGTAATGGATTCTCAAAGAGCTTTTAAAATAATCTGTGTAGATAAGGTAAGCAGGAAAATTTTACAAAGATATGGCTGTGCTTATCATGGTCATGAAAAGATGGATGAAAAGGAGCTAACAAAAAAGGAAAAGGACCTCGTTTTTAGTCTGATACCGACATTTAAATTGTAACCTGCTTAGACTTGAATCATAAACAGGAAATGAGGTAGAACAACAAGTAAGAAAAGATCAGAAATACGGAGCAATCCATTTAATTCGATATAATTGATTGTTTTACAATAATTTTTGGATAACTCAACTATGTTTAAATGAATGTACTCAAAAACATTCACCATGGTTTTGGAAATAAGAACGCTTAAGACCATAATCATGGTCTTGAATTTAATCGTCATATGCCGCACCTCACCTTTGTGCAGAAAGTTAAAATGCTATTCAGCTCTGAAAAATGCTTGTAATCAAAGAATTTCTACTTTTGCGTAGATTTTCCCGCAAACAAAACTACTTTAGCGTCTTTCAGAATGATGTCAAAAACGTGCCTGAGCGCGGTACTCGAAAATGCGTAAAAGTCGGGGAAGGGCTAAAATGCTGCAATGAACAAGTTGTTTAGTCGAGTGCACGGACAATCCAAAAAGAAAATTGCAGCATCCGGAAGAAGTAAGCTAATTTGAATGCGACTTTAAAATTTAGATGCGATCCTAAAAACTAAATGAGTTTGAGCTTAAAATTTTGTAACTCACTGGAGAAAAGAAATGGCCTGAAATTTTCAGGAGAGAAAGGGTGGAAAGTAGGAGGATGGGTCCTCCAAAGAAGTTTAGATGCGACCCAAACACGACCTTTTTCGAATTTTTTGTTGCCATACATTAAATCAAAGAAAATCTACGGTTGTGAAATAAAAACGGATTGCACGGATGTATCAGCATAACTCTCAAGTAGAGCTAAATTGTGTGGGCCCATAAAAAACATTACAAAATATTCACAAATTATTGATTGTCATCGTACAGATATACGCTCTTTCGAGTGTGTGAATTTTCAATGAGGCTTCGGAAGTAAGACTTCTAGGCCTATCGTTACGAACAACATTTTTATTACACATACATGCTTCTGATAGTGTTTGAGGTTCTGAAAACTCTTCTTTGAGTCTTCAGTTATGCTTGGGGCTAGCAGGTTCGATCTTCCGCCTGCGGCGCCTTTTGAACAGGAAGAAGAATACTTTTTAGCCCAAAGAAATTGCTACAGAAAAGGTTATTTTTTGCTTTCTGAACTTTCTTATCCAAATTCACACTCTAACTCCCTCCACAGCGACGAATGCCCCTCTACATTTGAAAACAGGTTCACTCGACTCGAAAGCGGCGAATTCCAATTTCTTTTCTACTTCCAACTCCTATTCCCCAGAGTTTAGTGAGTCAACCACTAAAAAATTTGCTTACGGTTCCCTCTGAAAGTTAATGGTGAATGTCTTAGTAGTAGCATAGAAAATGTGGCAATTCCGCTTGACTCACAAGTAGAAAGTTGCCAATGAGCCCTCAGACCACTACAATTATAAGTATTTGGTGTGATCAAAGAGGTAACATAGATTTCGAAAACTGAAAAGAACAAAGTAAAAAAATTACGTGGTTTGAGCTTGACCCTGAACTGATGCAACTTCTTCTATAAGACTTTCTTCTTTTTTGATAAGACTCCTGGATTTTAGCAATGCGTAAAATGTAACTACAGCTGCAAATTAGTTCAAGCTGTTTGATTTTTTGGTTAGGTATGAAAAAATTTGCGCCTTTGTTGAAGACTGGGTAAAATGCGGTTTTACGAGTTTGAAGGAATCGAACAGAGCAGTACAAAACATGGTGACATCATTGAAGGTGCTCGACTTTTATAACAATGTCCTCAAAAATCTCGAATTCTTTTTTGTATCGTGTGATCAAGTGTGAGAGAAAAAAATATTCCAACAGGGTTATTACTGGGATTTTTTGCGTAATACACCGAAACCAGTGGCGGACCGAGGCCCCCCCCCCCCGGGAATGGGTCGCGAAATTTTTGAAACTTACCTATATGGGCTATAAAAATGTGCAAACGACTTGTTTATTTTTGTAAATAATTAGAATATTTTTTAAAATTTTTCAAAAAATTCAAATTAGCCTTATATAAAAAAAATTTTTCGGGGGCGTGGCGTCAGCCACGCCCCCTTTTTCCAGATTTTGGGGGTTGGGGGCCCGCAAAAATTTTGAGAAACACCCCAAAAATTCTTTCGGAGTGCGTGGCTGACGCCAAGCACCTTCATCTGAAAAAAATTTTTGTTGCGCCCCCCCCCCCCGGTCCGAAATCCTCCGACCGCCACTGACCGTAACGTCCCGATTTTGGTTGAAGCATGCTTAACTTTTAGCTATAAATAATCTGTGTTTTGTAGTTTTACGCTATTATACTTTTTAAAATTCAAATACAGTTTATAAGAAGGAAGTTATTTTTACATAGCGAGATATGAGATACACTGAAAATCGGCAGATAACTTCTGTCATGTTTTCATCAAGTTTTCATTTTGTTACCCTTACCCCATTTCAGTTTTGATGCACTCGCTATCAGTCACTTCTTTACGATATGATAGTGCTACCAATCGTTTCTTACCTTTTCCCTACACCTATAGAAGGCATCAATCATATAAGGCAATAAATCAGCCAAAAAACCAGCATTTCAACATGCAGACAAAATTCTTGAGTAGGCTGGCCTCTTGGCGTTCAAATTGTGCGCAAAAATGTGGAAAGGATGTTAAATCTAGACTTTAGAAAACCAGAATGGAAAAGTTAAGGGGAGCATTGCTAATGCTGCGCGTCTTTACACACCATGGAATGAGTAGCTTAAAGGCCAGTGGCAGTGGGCCGTAGTAAAGCTCAATCAGTTCAGGTAAACTGAACTTATCCCATCAATTCACCTCACGTCAGGTAAACTGATGATCGCCCACCCTCCCATGCTATAGGAATGGCGAGTGAACTGATAGTTGACCATCTGTCCACCTGCTGCAGTCAACTCTTTCACATCAGTTCAAGTTCAAGTGACCTGAACGTGAACTGATGTTAGAGTGGTGCAAATAGTGTGTAAAAGAGGAGACGCAGACAAGACTCCCGTAAGTTGCTCCTGAGTACTTACGATACGCATCAGTCAGTCTAAAAATGCAAACAAAATCGGCGCAAAACTGCACAACCCGCGCCCGAAAAGGAGAGGATCGATGAACAGCTGATTTTGGCGAGGATAATAAAAAAAAAATTCTTCTCCTTTCTGTAAACCTTACTGGTTTTTTCTCACTAGCTGTCCATTACAAAAACTCATTTATTCATTTCATTAAATTCACGCTGCAATCATTTCGTTTTTTCATAAAATTTTCGTCACAAATTGTGTTTTTGTTTTATCCGTGCATTTGCTAGGCGAAATCCTTGATAGCGGTCATCATCGATTGCGTAGTGGCCGCTATCAAAGATTGCCCAGCGATGCATCAAAATGTGTGTCGCTAGTCGGACTCGAACCACGGCCGCGCGCGTGTAATTCCAATCGCTTACCCTTTTGACCAAACCAACTCAAGTAGTTCCTATTTCAAGAACGTCTTGATTGTGATGTCTCGGAAGCGATCCGCATCCAGATCAATGGCTCGCCGGATGCTAGATTGAGGCGTGATGAGAACAACGCTGGTCCGCGTCGAGAGATGCCCCTGATGGGGAGTTTACTACGGGCCAGTGTCTCACCAAAATTTAGTTGCGGAGATTTTTGCATTTTGCATACCTGTCGGACCCTGTCTAGAACTGTATGGGCTTAAAATCGCGTGAAGTTCCCAAAAACCCCGTTTTCTGGAGGCCCCGCGGGAGGATGGACGAGGCATGGAAGCGTGGACGAGTTGTACCTTCCAACTTCAGCCTCAGCCACAGTGGCAGCAACAGAGGGAGGTGGATGCCAAGTGGAGGGACATGTTCAAACGCGTAAGGGGAGGGGGGACCAAAGTAGTCGTCCGCACGTACCAAATCGCTCTCCGCGTACCACTTTGAGCGAATTTTTCTCAGCGTAAAGGAGGTCAAATTGAGTGGGACTTGTTGCAATGACTTATTTAGAATTCCCTATAATAGAATATGTAGATCCGCGCGATCTCAACTCTGGTGAGACACTGCCTTTAATCTTGAGTATTGTTTTTCCTCTGATATTAACACGAACCCAAAAATCCCCGATGGAAACCTTAGCAACGAAGAGATTCATAGCCTTTGTAAGAAATCCTACAAAGTAGAACCTGCTTTTTACTAGCAATCTATTTTTCTTACAGAATACAAAAAGATGAGGGAGCGGATATAAAAACAACAGAAGAGGCGGATATGAAAACAATAGAAGGAGCGGATATGAAAACAACTGAAGGAGCGGGTATGGAAACGACACAAAAAGGCGAAGGCACGGAGGTGAAAGAAAAGAAAAATGTTTTTGCCCTTCCACAAGAATATCGTCTTCCAAAAACACTTGTGCCATGTAAGCATGATTGCTATATTCGCTTCATGAAAGTGATAACGCAAAAATGCGAATTATTGAGACGAGTCCTATTACGCAAGTGCAACGCAGATTGACATAATTTACGCAACGCAGATTGACATAATTTACGTAGGATTTTCTTTCAACAGTTTAATTTCAGAGTATACAACGTTGAAATTCCAAGTCTTGCCGCGCAAACATAGCCAGCTTTGCATGTTTATGAAGTAAATTTAGACTCGGAATCGCTGAATTGGCACGTATGTCAGCTAGCTTGCCGCGGGACTTTGGGGACGTGCGCTAGTCGGTTCACAAACTGGGTAATTAAACCTTTATGAAGACTAACAAATAACAAAAATACGCAAATATGCTAAACTAAATTCTACAACTACCCTATTCAGGCAAATTGTGACTACCTAATGATGGTGTAGTGCGGAGAATTTATCGTGCAATGAGTCGTGCAGAGAAAAGGCTATAACAATGACAAATCAAAAGAGACAGTGACCATTCTCTAACCGCTAGCTTACACTTAGACAATCGCCGGGGGCAGGCGGGCGCCGGAAAATACGCGTTGCTAATCGCATTCAGCTCGCAAATTTCAGAAAAATGGTCAACGAGTTCTCCAGAAATCGCCTGTTGAATTCTTTTCGCTCCTATCTTTTGCAGATATATTGCTGAACCTTTAGGAAATTGAGAACTCAGCAAGCGGCCTTCCGAAAAGTCCCGATTGCTTTCCAAAATATCCGCGAGCGGGGTTGCGAGAAATCAGCCATCTATTTTTCCGGTACTGCCCCCGGCGATTGTCTAAGTATAAAGCAAATACATGGACAAATCAAATACATAAGCATAATACAAAGAATGTCTGTGAAGCGAAGAGATAAAGCCTTGTTCTCATAACGACTATCACACGCATTAGCTGTCTGTGATTCTGTGGTCCTGTGATCCACATTGATTCTCCGCATCCCTGTGAAGAGGGGAACGGAACTTACATATACAATAAGGTTACCGCCGCCTAATTAGCGGAGTTCATGAGAGGTCATGAACTGGCAGCAACGGTATATGCACTCATTTTGCACCGAAGATGAGCTGATTCTGCTCACGGTAACTCCGGCATCATCCTGCAGCCTATGAAACCGGAATTTCTTTGAAATTTAAATTCAAAGTTCAGTAGTGAAATCAGTCCAATTAGGGTAAAAACTTGTATTTAGGAGTATTTTATCACGCTGATTCCGAATATGTTAATCATTTTACTTGAAACCTAGGATTTTTTTCTTTTAGAATCAAAACTTGTTTTCACAAATTTTTCACAAGGATTCTCAGGGCATGCCTGTGGCTGTTATCACCAAACCCGAAAAAAGTTTGAAATTCAAAATAGAAAAATTTCGATGTTTCATGCACAACCATCAGCTTTTTTAAACAGCATGTTAAAAAACCCTAATTGTGAAATTTGCCAAATTTACAGAGAATGAAAATAAATAAAATTTCCAAAGAAAAAATATTCAATTTGGAGCGTAACCATTAGCTTTTTAGGAAACAGCATGTCAGAAAACCCTTACAAAATTTTCGAAATTATTATTTGTGAAAACAAGTTTTGAATCAAAAAAGAAAAAAAATCCTAGGTTTCAAGTAAAATGATTAACATATTCGGAATCAGCGTGATAAAATACTCCTAAATACAAGTTTTTACCATAATTGGACTGATTTCACTACTGAACTTTGAATTCAAATTTCAAAAAAAAATTCCGGTTTCATAGGCTACAGGATGATGACGGAGTTACCGTGAGCAGAATCAGCTCAACTTCGGTACAAATTGAGTGCGAATTAGCGTTGCTGCCAGTTCATGACCTCTCGTGAACTCCGCTAATTAGGCGGCGGCAACCTTATTGTGTATGTAAGTTCCCACACCCCTGTGAAGATACTGACTCATAAGTCATTACACTCCGGTTTCAGCAATAGAAGTCGGAGTTGCGTTGTAGCAAGCCATGACTGATAATCTGGTGTCCGCTTCTCTTCTTGTGCTCGCGCTGATGCGCTGTGTCTCCACAAGTTCATGAGTTCCCCCTTGCATCTGTCGATGCTTTTGCGGAGATACTTCCTTAGCTGAATCTTTCGGGTATACTACTCGAGCTTGGTGCAGACGCTTGAGTGGTGCACACGGTGCTCTGTTGATGGCGCCGGTGGGTCAGCTCTTTTGCAGTAGAAACAGATTGGGCTTTTCCTGCAGCTTAACGCGTCGTGCAATTCGATACAAATGAAACATCGACCTTCTTCGCGCAGGATTTCCATTTTCCGGCCACACTTCTTATCCTCGGGCATGCATCGGAATAGTGCTTTCCGAACACCTTGCAATAGACGCACATAGGAAGTGATTCGTTGTCCTTTATTTCTTAATCTACGAAGCGTCTTTCAATTTCTCCGCAGTTGCATAAGAAGTGTTCTACGCCACTTAACTCCGTTTTGCTCTAATCCAGGAGTCTCTGAAGGTTTGGTTGTTGCCGGTTGGATTCCGATACGGGACTCTCGTGCCGTCTTTTGGAACCTGTTCTTGTGCAATTAGAATGTGACATGAGTCTTCTTCTTTTCCTTGCTGGGTTTGGAGTTGCCTTTTATCTTGGTACCGTCTCTTTGCGGCTCTCATTGGTGGATATCGTACTACTGATTGAACTGATAGAAGACTCCATCTTGTCCAGCGAGCTTCTGATGCTCCTCCTCTGTGATTTAAACTCGTGCTTCCTACTTTCAGCCTCCTCTCTGACTTGCGCAGACAGGTTTTTCAACTGTGCTGTGATGTCTTCTATCTGGTGATTGTGCTTTCCTGTTGCCTCTTGACATCTTCGAGAAGTCAGTAGTGAAATACGTCTTTCATTTCACGGATGACTAGTCTTTCGAAATGTTGATTGAATGAATTGCAACCACTCCTGTTTCGTGCTGCTTTTCACGTCTTCCTGCACATGTATGAAGGCGTTCCTCATCTCACGAAAAATTTTGTCTTCCGCGGCAGTGTTCCCTTTGGATTCGCATTTTGCTTATTCTACCCCTGCCTCTTCTTTTTGGAAAAAGAGGTCGTAAAGACCGGACAGGTTGTGCACAATGCTGCAAACTCGATCTTCGTGTAATTGCGCCAAGTTTGTTTAGGTTCAGGATGGCCCTCGTCTCTCGGCTCCGTCGTCTCATAGAAGACTTCGGCTGATGTCTCGGCTATATATCAATGTACGCCAGTCGTTCAAGTTCGTTCGCTTCGTTTGTCGCCAAGACTTCATACCATTCGCTAACACGAGTTGGACTCTCATGACTGTGAGACTTGTGCGTTATTTCCTTGTGCTCCATGTGAAGTTGCTTTATTAGAAAATAGTGCAACGCTCCGTTTTCAACAGTGAACATATCCCATTGTCCATTATAAAAGATACAAATCGTGCTTTGGCTTGCTTGTGTAGACTTTCATACACAAAGCATGTGCCCGGCTGAAATTTGAGTTTCTGCTGGACGATTACTGTGGGCGAGCCGGTGAACTTTCGACAATTCTCATTTTCCGTTAAGAACTCTTGCCTCAGCTTCTTCTCCTCCATATAGCTGCGTTCTTCTTTCGTAAATCTATCTATAATCTGGAATAATTGAATGACTAGATGCTGGATACTCGGTTTTTACTTAAGTAGTCGTTATCAGTTACTTTCATTTTCGTAGCTTAGTCAGTACGGTGTGCTCGCCGCCGCGTCTTGCGAGATGCTTGATTTGGAGCTTCGCCGCTTATTATGCCAACTTTTTGCCGTAATTCGCGCTCGTCGCCGTTTTTCATTGTTATGTTAACTGTTTTTCTTTTTTGATATGGCCTCCGCGTCAGCGATAAGGTGATCCTCCCTCTTAATTTTATCCTATTTTTTTGATGATAGAAAAAGAGTCTTTTTAGCCTGCAAGGGTTCGTCGTGCAACTTTTGTCCCCGACCGACATCGTCGGCAAATTCGAAAGATGGTCTATGCACAGTGAGTGAGTGGTGCGTATTTTCTATGCCCGGCTAAGTTGCGATACTATAAGAATTTGGAGTTCAGCGCTTGTGCTATTGTGCCTGCCGTGGGTTCATGCGCTTCATAGGATTTCTTGCCGTGGTTTCTTCCCTTGTTGCCTTCGAAGCGATTTGAGCAGCGTGCGCAATATCATTCCTTCAAACGCATAGCTTGCACAAGCAATAGCCGAGTCGGGGAACGAATCTTATGACTGTGCAGAAGAATATGTTTGTGATGCAGGTGCATGTCATTAGCAGTGCACATCATTAGTGCAATAATGATCACTAATGTATAGCCCCAGTTACGAAAAACATCAAGTATATGTTCAAAGTCTGGAAGATTTATTTCCGAGAAGATCTCCTCTTAAGATACGTCATGTCGCTTCGTGTGGATTTCGTGTAGTACAGGAACCCTGAATCTCAAAGGGGATGACCGTTGTCCCACATTTGATAGTACATGTTCTGTGGAATTGGGCCCTTTGACTTATGAAGCTTACATTTGTTTGTGTACCTTCTTGTGAGCACAAGACCGTGAATGCATTCTCACCGCATTCTATTTCTGCCTGCGCCGTGGGTGTTGAGGAAATGCATGTAATTAGGATTTTGGCTCCCTTCATGCATTTACAGTACCCCGTACAAGAAGCATTTTTACTTGTGCATATTGCTTCTGATCGTTTTGAAGTCGTGCTATATCTTCCTTTGATGCGCAGGAGGTCCGCTGCTGGTAGCTGTAGTATTTCTGAAGTTAGCGTTCCGCTCACTTTCTGAAAATTAAGGTTAGGTCGGTCGTCGTAGTATAGATAGTCTATACCGCGGCTCTGGAATATGCGGCGTGAGGTTGAATTCTTTACAGTCGCATTGCATTTTGACTCTGCTGGTGTACAGGTACATTCCTCTCTTACCTCGCAGCTATTTCGTGCCTCTTCCTTTGAATTGCAAGCTAGAGAAGACTGGTAGTCCCTTGAAGGCAGTGCGGAAAGTTTTCCGTCTGTGAGAAAGGCCGCG